TCCTTTACAACCACCATTCCCATCTCTGAATATCCACTTTGTTTAAACGTCTCACCTCCGGTTTGTAATGCAAGCTTTTTGTTTCAAATCTAGATTTGATTTTTGATTTTTTTAAAGTCACAAGTTTGTTTTTCCCACATTGGATTCACAGCCAAAGGAGGCGGTGGATGGTTTAGAGACTCCTTTAAAGGCACTATATTTTCCCTTAAATTTCACTGGAATAAAGTCAAACATTGCAGAAATCGCCAAGAATAGCGCAAGTGAAGTCAGAGAGTTGAGAAAAAAATGCACTTTACTATATTCTAACTCTACCCATCCTTTTTTAGTATGATTCAGTTAACTCAAAGACTTATGACATGATTCTTATACTCTGAAATACTCATTCTTATGCATGTAATTAAAAGCTTTAAACATTCTCATATATGTGTATATTTTTTTTGTGTGAACCCCTTCGTTGTTTAATGGTTACTCATGTTTTTACACCCCCTCACCTTGTAACCAGTCCAGCACAGACAATCATGCCCCATCATTCACAATAACATTGAGGTGTTTCAACAATCATGAGTGTGCCCAAACAATGCTCTGTCCAAGGATTACTCGCTCTGTTTTCTTTGGGGAGTCAGTTTGTTTTTCTGTTTTGTCCATATATCCATGACTCCATATACGCAAGCCCTGTGATGTCAGCCTTTTTTATCCATGTTTGTGGTTGCTCAGCGTCGGTCTTGATGGCTCATCAAGTTGTCATGGCCTTGCAGCTTTTACAGCATTCCTTTCTTTATGTCCAAGAGGCTTTTTCTTTTTTTTTTTCTTCTTTTTTTTAGTGCACACTAACTCTTCTGTAAAATAAACCCATGAATAGACCAAAAGCTTTGAGGTGCACTCAAGGCCAGGTACGCTGTGTTGATATTGGAGGAGCACTGTTTTCCCTCAGAGAGTGATGCCACTTTGGACCTGGCCTTCCTTTTCGGGGACCAGTGGGAGGTCAAAGTCTTTGAAAGTCTTTGCTGTGGGTTTTTTGTGTGTGTGAAGACAAAGGTCCTTGTGCTACATAGAAGAAAGCTGCATGGGATTGAAAAAAGAGCAAGAGGAGGAAAGTTTGGTCACTGTGGCCTTGGTTGCACACTCGGGAGAAGAGTGATCATCAGTGGCGAAAGGAGGTGGAGGGAGAGATGGTGACTGAGTGATTAACGGCCCACGAGATGTGATAGATGTCTTTAATAATGTCGGGCTGTTTTCTTAGTGTCCTTGAGGATTTGTTGTTATTAAGAAGCAGGTCTTATTATGATGACCACCTCTCTCGTAGTCTCCCACATCACGCTGGGCTTCGGTCCAGACAGTCAAAATAAACACTAGTCAAAAGCCCCGCCGCCCCGTACTTGCGCTGATGTGGCACTTGTTGATGGTGCCAGCATGTCTCAGTCCTGACCGAGGCATATGTGGTCTCACATCAGAAGTGAGGAAAAAACACAGAACATCGTATCACCTGTTGAATCAGCTGGACCCTGCAACCAGTGATCTAGCAACACTGTATGACAGGGTAACTACCACAGTGATGTTTAGGTAAGTGGTGTATAATGGTTTTCATAGGCATGTCCATTATTGGAAGGAGAAGAAGATAAAGGATCTCATTAGGAAATGCATGTTTGACCATGGGAGCCATAAGAAGTTGTGCTCATCACCGCTGGAAAACAAAATGAGAACATTTTATTGTACTTCCTTTTCTTCTCCAAATAAAAATCACAAACACTCTCTCCTTTAGTGTGTCTAAGTAGCTCCAAGCTCTATCACAGACATAGAGTTGGTGAAGGCCCATGTTTTATTAATTTGCAGATGAGCTCAGCTATTGATGGTGTTGGCCGCCCATGGGTTCAATTAGGATAATACAGGGAGAGGGGCAGATTATGGGCGGCTATTTAAGTGAGGGTATATCTCTTCCTGACAGTTATAGTCCAAATGCAACAAATTGCCCTTTGGTGGCTGCGAGCGGCGCCATATCGGTCCTCTGGTGATGAAACATGCCAGTGTGGCAGGTCAGCCGTGTTGAGACGACACCAGGCTGTGTGAGCCGTGTAGCTTGTCCTCTCTGAACTAACAACGCAGGCCTGAGTGCAGCCCATTTCCATTCAGTTAATAGGGTCCATTTAGAAAACAGCAGTCTATATGGTGGTGTGCTGAGTGCATGTTCTACCCAGCCAACCCTAAACAGTCCCACTTAGCATGACACTCTCTAAACTATTGCACTTATTCTCTGCAGAGCTCTCTGGGTTGAAAGCCCGCAAGTTTTGACAGCTCAACAGAGCAAAACGCAACCACGTAAACATCACATTTTACAAATACAAGACAGTGTGGGTGAATATTCTCCTAAGCATCCATAAAAGGAGGAACAGCTGCAGCATGCATGTGACACACAGAACTCTGGGATGAACGTTTATGGCGTGCGATGAAAAGCTTAAACTGTACATTGCCCGTGGAATGTATTGTGTGAAATTGAATAGGGAGGCCATAAAGTGGACTGGAGACAGCGGCCCAAGCATGCAGAGCTGGTTATCTTCCTTGTCTGGCCAGTCCGGTCAAAGCTTTAAAACAGCTCTATAGATAGAGGCCGCACTGTGCTTTCTTTCGCTCAGGAAAATGACGACTGTGTCTCAGCTGCATTGGAGCTGCATGTTTAGGCTACAGTCACTGAGGTAATCCAGCCCTCCCGTCCACACCCGGACATCAGCATTTAGGAAAGTGAGCACTCACAGGAGCAGTGCAGGTCAGCTCATAAAGGAGAAGGAAGAAGATCCTTAGTTTTTGTTTTTACTTAAGAGCAAGTCGTTTTACCCTGAGTGCTGTGCTTTAGTAGCCATACATTCTGTATTTTAACGACCTCTATCCTCAGATGACTTACCCTGCTGCTGTGTTGTTTTTTTTCAGATATTGCAATATTTTTACTCTGGCTGTAAAATTATTGATCAAGGCCAAGTGTATAAAGAGAAAATACTCAAAATTTCACAATCACCTGAAAATCTATTCATCTTGATTCCTGACCTGTACAGTACTTTATCATCCGGACCACTAATCCTTCCCTCTCCTTGTTTGCCTGCCCTGGCTTTCCTTGTTCCCATCCCCAGCCAGGTAGGGGCAATAGGGCACTGCTAATGTGCTCGGTGGGTCATTAATCCTTAGGATGGCCGTGGGCAGCAGAGCAGGCGAGCTTTGTTGTTTGATATCGGGCGAAATGGTGATGGGAGGCAAAGCAGATGTTTGTGTTGGCTGGAGAAGGAAAACACCATACTTGATGCCAACCCAATCACCATTTCATGCCAGGCAACAGCTGCCCAAATACATTTCAGCCAGAGTCTGGCAAACAGAGTCAAAGGTGACCAGAGCAGCTTAACACAGACTTTTTCTGTCTTTTCTCATGTTTCTCTTTTAGTCCTTACACTTATACGTATAACTATATATACACCTGAATGTCCATTACTTGAGGGACTGCCCTGTGAACATTATTTAGAACAATGTTGGTTAGATTATTCCAGGAGCTTTGGTATCTGCAAATCTTGAAACTGAAGGTGAACCAGACACTGATGAATGTAAAACATGCACAGGTTTCTCTGTTTGCCTGCACTGTTGTGTGTAACTGGTGTTCACCATGCATTCACCTTTAAAGCGAGATGGGAATCAGCCGAGAGGACACACAGAAAAGGAGCCATAGACTAACCCAGATTTTTTTAGCTGGCCATGGTAAAAATATAACAATGTATGCGCATACATAGACCGCAGAACAAGGACAGCGCATTTAACCCTCTCCTGCTTCTCCACTCAACTGATGGGAGCCATTCATCATCGCCCACCTTCATATCTGTGTGCTGAAAGGAAAGGACTCTTTGTGTGTGTGTTTCTATGTAACAACTGATTAAAGATAAATATCTTCTATGTAGCTCACATGTCTTGATCCTGCTGTGGAGTTGTTTACTGTTTATGAGTTTCAGACTGCAATGAACACCGTTGTCTAGCTAACAGAGTGTGCTGCCCTCTGCTGCTCTGTTTGAGAACATCTGTGCTTAGAACATCTGCCGCTTCCACAGCACAGACTGGGATGCACACTCAACCCTACTGGGGTTGTTTAAACGGCAGGTTGGTGCAGGAGCGGCCTTTGGGCTTTTGCAAAACTTCAATGACACTTAATGTTAAATAGGATCAGAAAAGTTAGATTAATTCATAAATAAATACACAATTACATACTTGGTTAAAATAAAGACAGCCCTTGGCCAACTTTAGCTGTTGTACTTTTTACAGTTTATTACTTCATCTTAAAGAATCATTTTTGGAAGCAATATTTCTTTAATAGGCTTCTTTCCTCCCTCATGCGTATTGGAAAAAGAAATTAAATCTATTTATCTCTCTCTATATATGTATATATATGTCTGTCCACAACAAAACACAAGAGGATATTCTGATATACTTCAGATGATGATGCTTAGATGAAAGGCTGTATGTTAGTTAAGTCATGCACCTGCAGAAAGAGGTATATTTGTACAATGTGGGACCATTTCTAACCCATTTGTCATCTCTAATTTAGCAGAGGTGGAGTGGGTGAATCAAAGGAGGCAAGTAATGAGCACCCACAGTAGCCAGTACGGTAACCGTTGGTTACATGTGGTGCATTAATGTATGTAATCTATTACTGTGTCTGTGACAAGGACACATAGCATGCTAATTAAAGAAACCTTTCATTGTGCTTCCCTTAGACACAGGTCATGTCTCATTAAAGATGGTCTCAGTGCATGGGGAGCCATTCATTACTGGAGGAAAAAAAAAAGTGGATAGATAGGATACCTGTATGCATAGACTTTCCACAATGAGCAAACCTGACAGCATGAATAGCCAATAGAAAACTTTCCTTGTCACACTGAAAATTAAGAGTTGATATATTAACAACAAACCAAAAGACATCATTACTTTGGAAAGCATAAAGCATTTGGTGACCAGAAGCAAAAAAAGAAAGACAACAGTTGAAAAATCAATAAATTTTATTTATGAAATGAGAGGATATTCACAAAAGAATCATTGCCACATTAATATCATGTACATTACTAAATATATAATATAGAAAAAATATAAAATTGAACAAAAATAAACCACATCTTCAAAAGGCTTTCATTTCTGCATGCCAGTTTAAAAATTAAAATAAAAGAAAAACAACAACTGAGTTTAGTCCTGGGACAATGATTTAAATAAATCAATCCCAACAGGATGCTAGAAACCCACCTGGATGTTTGGTGCAGAGGGACACTCATGCAGCAATATCTGAATGGTAGTGCACAGGCAGAAAAACTATCTGCTCTTTAGTGGCTCCAGTAATAATTGCAGTCCAAGCCTATTTTTTTATTTTTTTATTTTTTTTAAAACCTAAAAGGCTGCACTGCAACTCTGTCTGGACAGAAACAACTAGCTGTCCCCCAAATGCACCATCCCCCTGTACAATAAAGGAAAGAAAAAAAAAAACAACAACTAAGAAAATAAGACATCTGGAAGGCTGTAGAGCTAATGGGTGTTATTACTGTTTGGATTTCTCTTTGTGGTCACAAGATAAAAGGTAACATACTGGATGACTTTTCCATGGTCACAAAACACTAAAATTATCTTTACTTCGTCTGAGCTCAGCTCAAAATAATCAAAGTACTCTTGTGTTTTTGTTAGTCAGCTTTGTCCACTCAATTTTATACCAACCAGTCTCTATTGTCATTATTATAAGAAAAAAAACATAATACAGACAAATAAGAGCATTCCCACTGTCCCTTTTGATCGTTATTATATTCATTTGGAAATGGCTTCATCCAGTCGTTATTTAAAACAGTAACATTATAATTACGTGCACCTTATTATAGATGATTCACAGTCTGCATTAAGGGCTGAGTGATCGACCAATCTTATCAGATAACTTTCATAAAACTTGCAATACAGAGGTATATTATTTTAGGTCTAATTGGAATTAACTACCTTACCCTAGCTCCCATGTTGGCCAGGAGGCTATTCTCGTGGTTTTCATGTCATTTCCCTGCCTCTCCAGTACTTATCATGTTCCACAAATAGACTTAAACACTATTGAATTGGACTACAGTTAAAGATGTTGGTTCTTGTTCTGATCTGCACGTCTGCTGAGCTTTGCATTATGAAACATGTATAATTTCTGCGTCTGCTGCAGATTCTGGCTGAAGTGACCTTTCAGCTTATAGCTGATTTCTTACCGAGCCAGAAAAGAGCCTTCTTGGGATAACAGACTCACTGAAGGCAGCTCAAAGTTTCCCAGCTAGCAGAAAAAAGGTGGGGCTAGCTGGTTAGCAGTGCCTTGGCTTTCAAACTAAAATAACAAGGTAGTGAATTAAAAAAAAAAAAAAAAAAAAGTAAAAGCAAACGCACTGATCCATCTTTTTTTTTTTTTTTTTAAATCATTATCTTGTTATTATTAACATGAACTAACCAAAAGTGTGATTCAAGTGATCCACACATGGTAAATTTCAAAATCAGAAGTAAATTAAACTACATGAAGATGAACACAAGAATGCAAAATCAATCAAAAATGTGACCTTCTCCGTGACCCAACTCTAACACGTTTGATTGAGATGCATTTACAAAACATTTAAATACCTGATTTACTAAGTAAGGGTTGGAAAGATCTTGTCCTTTGCCAAGTTAACACCCATGGTTTCTACAGCCCCCCATAAAGTAGTCCCTGTCTGAATATGAAAGCAAATGAGCAGTCCAAGACAAGTGCAAATCCTCCCTGAGACTGGTCTATGTACTTACACAGACATCTGATTCAGCATTTTACAACCCCCATTCCCCTACTAGAAGCCTAAAGCAGTCACACTGACCAGCCTAAAATTGTGTATGGTGCCACCTCGACAGCTTGCTTTGTTTTCACACAACATTTAAGACAAAATACATGGATTCATCATCATCATCTAGTCACAATAAGGCTCCTAGAGAAGCACGTAAACCAGACTGGTCGGAAAATAAGTGGATCAAAAGAATGGTTGTTGATCACAGTTATTATTGCTAAAATGATTATCATTATGATTTATTTTAATGATGAACCATCCTCGGACACATGACCAGATGCTGGTCTCCATCGACACATCTATAGAGCTGTGACATACCACAGTGGAGATGGGTGGGGAAGAGCTGTGTGAAGTGACTCAGCATGTGATGCTCATACTTGTCTCAGGGCTTCAGTCCTCTGGCGACAGACAGAGGGACGTTATGTCGTCATGTGTCTCTCAGGTGACCTCGGTTTTGAAGGCTCTGGAAGTGGGCATCCTTCAGGATGCGGTTGATATGCAGGTAGGACACTGGGTTCGTAGGCTCAAAAGAGTTGCCCACACTAAGCGGACTGCAGGGGCCCTGAGCACACTGACTGACGCAGCTCCCAGCTGCACGTTCAGGACTGCTGATGCTGCTGCTGCTCTCACTGTTGGATGACTGAAATGCAGATATTAACATTACCATTAGAATGCTAGAATCCAGGGTCTGCACATCAACGTGGAATTTAATATCATACACAGTGAAACAGATTCTACTTTAAATCTGCATCTAGTAAAATCCAAAGCTCCATAACTGACTAAAAATAAAATTAAATACTACAAAGTTAAAATAACACATGTACACACACTAATACAGAAAAACAGAGGGATATTTCAAACTAAGGAACAAACAGTTATGATTTTACAACAGTTTCAACTGCACAGTGACATTATGGGTGCAAGTAAGTGTACTTGTTTTCTTTTATTGCAGATTTGGAAAACTGACATGTTTCAGGTCAAACCAATTTTAGCATTAGACAAAGATAACCTGAGTGAATACAAAATGCATGTTTTAAATGATCTTTAATCGTAATATCTTTAATTGAAAGTTTTGGAAAATAAGGTTTGAGTTTCATTAGTACCGGCATAAAATTTAATTTGTACATCAACATCATATCCATCTATTCTCTACTGCTTATCTTTTTCAGGGTTGCAGGGGTGCTGGAGCCTATGCTAGCTGTTATAGGGCAAGAGGCAGGGTGCACCCTGGACAGGTTTCCAGTCTGTTGCAGGGCTAACACACAGACAACTAGTTGCACCCGCATTCATATCTATGGGCAATTTAGAGGTTCCAATTAACATATCCCTATTAACTGCATGTCTTTGGGCTGTGGGAGGAAACCGGAGTACCCGGAGAGAACCCACGTAAACACAGGGAGAACATGCAAACTCCACACAGAAAGACCCCGGCCTGATAGTGGAATTGAACCCAGGACGTTCTTGCTGTGACTGAACAGTGCCAACCACTGTGCTGCCAACATTACATTAAAAGTCAAATATAGTAGGTAACGTTTAAGGGAGAAAGTCTGTTGATGAGTTTGTGCCATGAAGCTCAAACACACTAGTCAATGCAGTAGGACTTTTATCTAAAAACACACAAGCAAGTCCGCCTTTGAATGGCTCAAGAAAACAAAAAAAATGGACAGCTTTGGACTGACCTAGTCAAATTCTAGACTCAAATCAGATTTGGATGCTTTGGGTTTGTCCTGAACTTGAAAAATGCTCAAAAAACTAGAGAGTGTAGCTGAATTAAAACAATTCTGTAAAAAAGAAAGGGCAAAAATTCCTCCACAGTAATGTGAAAGACTAGTTATCAAAAACTAGACTGCAGTTCTTGGGTCAAAGGATGGCACAAGCACTTATTATGTTTACTTTTTCACATAGGGCCAGGTAGGTTTGGATAGCCTTTTCCCCTTAATAAATGAAATCATCATTTAAAAACTGCACTTTGTATTCACACCAGTCATCTTTGTGTAATATTAAAATTTGCTTAATGACATGTAAAAAATGAGAAATGCTTATTCTGCGTTTCTATTCAGGTTTCTGTGAGTATCATGTTACCTTCCCTCTATAGTTTCTAAATGAACTGAATAACATGCTTAATGCAAGTTTCAGTTAACGCTTGTACCTCAGAGTCCCAGGCATCACGGCCTGGCTCAGGAGAGATGGGATGTGCTCTGGTCTGCCTTTTGGCTTGGGGCACCAGGTGGCCATTCTCCTCATCACCACCACTGTGCTGCCGTTTCCTGTTCAGGTAGAAAGCCAAAATAGGTGAAGATCAATGTGGCCTCACCAACTTATTAAAAACAAGTGTCAGCAACATATGAGACCTAATTCCTCAGTTAATTGTAGAGTAGACGAATTTAAAAGCAATGACTTATCCCTGCTACAGTGTATACATGACGATTATTATGCAAAGTCACTGCAAGCTGCCATTGTTATATTCAAGACCAGCTAGCTCGGTATATTCTCAACGGTACTTCGAAGACAACATAGACCTACAGCACTACAGTTGTTAAAGTAATACAGTTGCTGTGACCAATTACGGTTGCTGGAACCATGATTATTTTGTTAGCATATTCAACATTTTACGTGGGTCCTGCAACAAAGGCCACGGAAACGTCGAGCCAACTCTCGTTCAAACACTACTCAATCTACTCAAATGGAGTTATATTGCAAGCTCACCTGCTTTCAGTCAACATATGATAACACTTGAGCAACCTAAATGAGATTCTTTTTATTTTCTTCTGAGCAGACAGGAGGAGCCGGTTGGCTGACGTTATTTGCTGGTTAACGGAGCTCGTTTCCTGTCTGTCGACGGCCTGTTAGTTTAGCTAACTTTGCCTGATTAGCTAATTACGCTCAATAACAATGCGATACAGTTTTCCATTTCAATCACAGTGCCAAAGACATCAGTTAGAGTGATAAACCACACAAAAAAATCGACGTGGCGTTAATTGATAACAAAAAAAGATCAGGCGTTGACGAGCTAGGTAGTTAACAAGCCTGTCCTAAAGCGCTTTATCATTGGTTCCAAGCTAATGCTAACGTCACCGCAAGCTAACGGGAATCCTCTTATCATATGTTAGCTAACTACAGCACACAGTACAATTTTTACTCCGTTTCGGGACTATTGCGCTCTTAAATCGAAATAAAATTACTAGGGTTCAAACTCAACCTAGCCAACGATACTTGCTACTGATAACACGCACAACCAACCGCAACTGTTGTGTTTACATGGTACCGCGCCTGCGCAAAGACCAATTATGGTGCCTTTAAAGACCAATAGGAAAAAACGAACCCTAACTCACATGGCTTTGTTTTTTTGGGGAGAACAAAGCATATATATACCAATATAGACGTGAAGGTTAATAACAAGGGCAACAGAAATAAGCAACAGAAAATAAAGCTAACTTGTGTAATGCATGCTTTTCCTTTTTCATAAGTAAAAATATGAGGTGGCTTGGGACTGAAAGGAAGAACACCTAAAGGTAACAGTATTCTAGCAATTATAGTGTAAAGTTTTGTACGGTCGCTTTAGAAGCAGGTTTTTGGTTTGATGTCAGTTAAATGCACAAATCTCTTGCGTCTTGTTCCCGGATTCTGTGGTACCGAAAGTAACAAAGCATTCAGAGACTTAAGTTCTACACAAGAACTGACGTTAAACAGCACATTAACCCTGAAAATATACTTCGTCTGATCAAGTCAACCCCATTTATACCACATTAATTTCCCCATAGGATGTCGCCATTTGCAAACACATTTATTGTCATAATGTTTGTCTTGAGGGCTGAGACTATTCAACAGAAACAAGTCAACAAAGCAATAAGCTGAAGTCTATTTCCACATATACCTTCTTATGGATATTTTATACTGACGAGTAGACGTGCAGATTAGGTTGCCATGTATTATATTGTATTTTCTGTTGTGTGGCAGATAGAAGGCTTAAAACAAAATATCCACTCTGAAGTAAGTGGCTGGCACATTTTCAACCCGGAAGTTGCAGTCTGTAGTGCAGCCTGCTTGCCCAGTCAGCCAATAGAGTGAAAAATTGTCTCCGCCAATGACTCAAGCGAAGGACGGAGGTGAGATTATCAGGGATTGTCAGTAGCGGCGGTCCTTCTGTGTATAAAGGCAAATAACCGCAATGGGCAGCACCGACTCTAAATTGAACTTCAGGAAGGCAGTGATCCAGCTCACAACCAAAACACAGGTGGGTTATGAGCAGTTTATATGTATATTCTATCCAATTAAATAGATCGTTAAAAGACAGAGCCAGTGGGCGCACCGAAGAGCATCGTCGACGAGATGAAGGGATAACGCTTGCGACGTAGGAGCAAAAGAAAAAATATATAAATAAAAATAAACTAATCTCGTGTTGCATGCAGCCTTTTCGGGTCACGTCTGCTTTTTATTTTGCAGATTATAAATATTTATCATCTGAATATAACGCGGCAAACAGGCCTGTGTCGTATTTTTATTAAACTGGATTAAATTGTCACAGATTCTGTTTTGTGAGTCACCGTAATTTGTTTCTGTTTGTTTGTTTGTTTGTTGCTTGTTTGGTTTTTTAATGCTGTACGCGTTCAGTTCAGATGATTATACATTATGGCGTACAGCAAAATCAAAGGTGATGACGTAGGTCTGGACTACGTTTGCAGATGCGGCAGGTGGACTGTGCCGTCAGTGTCACAGATACTGTTTGCGCTGCTGCTAGAACAAGGATTTGTGTTGACATTGCCATGAGCTCTGATTATGTATAAAATACATGAAAGGATAAGCGTGTAGATCTTTGTATTAAGGTAAAGGTCTCAGATGCGATTTTAATGCTGTGCAGCGCAAGATCAAGGCTGTTATAAATAAAATAAAATAAAATAAGACGTTTGGCCGAGGTTAAATGCTCAGTTTTGCTTCAAAGGGAACTGAAATGTGCACATATTTTTCTCCAGCCAGTGGAAGCCACAGACGATGCCTTCTGGGATCAGTTCTGGGCAGACACCACCACCACGGTCCAGGATGTTTTTGCACTGGTGCCAGCTGCAGAGATAAGAGCTGTTCGAGAGGAGTCCCCCTCAAATTTAGCGACCCTTTGTTATAAAGTAAGCATTAAATAAACTCTCGGCGCATTTTGTGTTACATAATGAAATGCCGTTGTTTGGAAACTGTGCCTTATTTTGACTGCAGAGCCCTGCACAGGCTCTTAGATGTCTGAATAAATGAGTCAGCTCCCCTTCCTTTTCCCGTTGCTTCCCGTCTCTAGCCACCAGCTTCCGTTTTGAAGCTGCCTGTCAGAAACAAACACAGTGGGGCTCACAGCATAATTAAATGAAGAGGTGGGAATGAGAGCCCTTGAAAGCTGAGCAGGTTCAAATGGGTTCTTGCTTATTTTTAGCTTGCTTATCTGCAGCGTGTATTTGATTAAATTTAGATAATAAATCACCAAGTAAATTTTTGTTTTTGGTCCAAAAATTGCAGATACAGAGATTAAGTATGCTTGTCTGTTTGTTGGTAAGACTGCTGGTGCTTAACATGGTGCCATGTTTCCTAACAAACAAATGAGCATGACTCTTGATAACTGTTATAATATCTTTATGTCCTCAAACTAAAAGTTGATTGGATATTAAGATCTATGATTATGGATGGATAGCTGTTTTCCTCATGGTGACATTCTGGTTTGGAAATAATTCAGTGTTAAAATAATTATATTATTTCAAAAAATGTTATAAAATACTATAGATCCTTGATGTGTAGTGAGGTGTGCTGTGTGGGTAATGCTTCATTAATTAAACAAGATCTAGCACCAGTGTAGCTGAAGCATATTCACTGTTTTTAAATTGAATTAAAACACAATATCAAACTGAATTAAATAAAAAAAGATACTATATATTATGTTCCATACTAAATATAATCACCCGGTTACAATGTTTCTGGATTCTTCAGGCCGTGGAGAAGCTCGTCCAGGGAGCAGAGTCTGGATGTCCCTCTGAGAAAGAAAAGCAGGTAATCCTGAATTGCTGTCGCATCCTGACCCGCATCCTTCCCTACATCTTTGAGGACCAGGACTGGAGAGGATTTTTCTGGTCCACAGTGCCTGGTGCTGGGCGGGCTGGGGTGAGTTGGCATGGGAAAAGGAAGATCAGTTTGTCACAGATTAACATTGTGTATCCATGGTTGTATGGAAGAAAATCAAGGCACACACTGGAGAGGTCACCAGTCTATCACAGTGCTCACAAGGCTGGATCAGGAGTTAAGAAAATAGATAGCTAGATAAAAATATGCATGAATATACTCATCACATTCAGCGGGTTTTTAAATCACATGTAACACTAAATACTGCTTTTGTTTGTTTCTAAAAAATATGACAGGTAGAGTGTCAACAAGCTTCTCAGAAGCTTTCTTATTTTACTTATATAAAGATGGATTCACCTAATAAATTAGTTATAAGCAATGTTCCCTCTAAGCTGAGCGCGTGAGCAATCGCGCACTGCTGACATGGTCTCCCCACACAGAAAATCCAGCCTGAATTGGAATTAAAGTAAATACATGTATTTATTTTATTTCGCTGATTTTCTGTGCGCGGAGACTGTGTCAGCAGTGCGCGATTGCTCACGCGCTCAGCTTAGAGGGAACAGTGGTTATAAGCCCTGTGCTTTCCCAAGTGGGAATGCTTTATTCCAGTGAACCTAAATTCCCTCATTCCAGATATAAAAAGGTGTATTCTCTTCCTTTTCTTTAAAAAAAATGTAAATATTTTTGAAAGATTCCACTTTTTCCACATTTTTTCAGACAGACGAGCTGGATGATGATGAAGGAGCTCGACCACTGGCCGAGTCGCTGCTGCTGGCTATTGCTGACCTCCTCTTCTGCCCTGACTTCACTGTGCATAGTCACAAGAGGGGCCCTGTGAGTAACAACTGTCCTTCTGACACGGTACAGTCCAGTGTCATTAATTTGTCATCCTACCTCCATCCAGCAAAAGAAGTTACTGCTGACAGAACAGTGCAGCACAAACATTTATTCCTTGACCTTAGTCTCTAACATTGTTCCAGACGTTAGACATATTTATTCAGGCACTGCTTCCTTCTTCCTGATCAAAGATTTCTCAACTAACCTGCCACTCAAGTTTGACCGAAGCACCGAGCTAGGTTCTGGTGGCTGATACTTTCTCAGCGACAAAAGGAAGAATTCTCCATGAGTATGAAAAGAATGTTGCTCAGTCTGTAACTTTGAACTCACCATTGCTGTTCATGTAATCATTTCAATGCTAAGGTAGATGTCAGAAAAGTCTGTTATGGCAACTAAAGTGAAATTATCTTTTATATAAACAGCAACAGCAAATTATACCTACCCACAATCTGGATGGCAATGGCAGAATATTAGAATTCATATACCAGAGATCAGGTTTCATAAGCCATTTTTTACCAGGAGTTAACAATGTTTGACAATGTCAATCTTCCCATTATCTACAATTGAGTCTAAGTCACTGAATAAATTACTTTGCAAATCTAAGACCAGAAAATGTAGCTATAAAGCTATTAACTGGATTTTTTTGTGTGTGTGTATGTCTGTGTGTGTGACTTTAACCAGGACTCAGTAGAGAGCATGCAGTCTATAGACAGCTGTGAATACATTTGGGAGGCAGGGGTGGGATTTGCACAGTCGCCCCCTCTAAACTACATCCATGATCTGAATAGGTGAGTTGGCCTCAAGTGTACAGCTCTGCCTGATAGAATCTAAAATGTAATCTTATTTGTGTGTGTGTGATTTACTTTTCTTTTCTTTTTCTTTTTTTTTTTCTTTTCTGTCTTTTCAATCTCCATCCTTCAGGACGGAACTGTTGAGATTATTACTGACCTGCTTCTCTGAGGCCATGTACCTCCCTCCTTCATCAGACAACACTATCCTCAATCCTTGGGTGACATTCTTCTGCTCAACAGAAAACAGGTAATGGAAAATAAAAGCACATCCACACATACAGCAATAATTTAAAAAAAAAAAAGAAAAGAAGGACAAGTACACAAATTTTAAAATCCAATTCTAAAGTTTTACTCACAGGACACGATAAAAAAAAAAAAGTCCCTTAGCACATCTCAAAATGAGGTAAATACAACCTCAGATGAACTATGACATATTAACACAACTTAAACCAGACTACAGAAGCAGTGTGTGACAAAACCAAGTACATCCTTACTGGTTCCATGGGAATTAAGAGCAGCCAGGTGATGCTAACCAAATATACGTCATT